AATAGTAAACACCTGACCCATGAACTTTTCCCAAAAGAAAAATGACCGGCCTGTTGAGGCCTGAGCAACAGCCCAGGTTGATCCTTAAATTTTTTTCGAGCTTTTACTCGGCTCGAGCCAAAAAAGCCCGAAACCATTTTGCTCGAGCAAATTACAGCTCATGGCTCAGCTAGGCTCGATGCCACCCCTACGTTTGACCTTCTTTTTGTTACATATCTTGGTGGGACGCTATCTAGAAAATAGAACAAAAAAGCAACTTGCCATTTCCCAGCAAGTTTTGGTTTATTTTATTTAAACAGTTGATAATAATTTAAATCAAAATTAACAATTAATTTTAAAAATACATTTTATGAAGTCTACAACTTCTATCAACTTTTCAACCATACATTTTATAAGAGAAATACTATTCATCCCCAGTGAGAATGCATCCCAAGTCTATGTGGCGCTAATGTGACATTAAATGATAGGTGAAATTAAATAAATCATTTAATTTCACATATCATTTACATCCACATAGGCTGGGGATGGGGATGAATAGCATTTTTCATTTTATAATCTTCTATCAAAATTTACTAAATATCTTATTGGATTCCCTCATCAAGAAAATGCCATACATAAAAAAATGAAGAGCGACCGCCAGTTAAAAGAAACAGAGCCTTAATAACCATCAAATAGAAATGATTTAGAAAAATTATCAAAGTACGCATTACAGCAGTATCCATATCGTGCCGCAATATCTAAACAGAAAACCAACGATGACTCAAATCCATATGAACTCTCCCATTAAACGAACACAACACCTAGGTGTTTGTGGCCCTTGTGTATATCTGCTGGCTTGAGTGAGCAGACACCATTCTGATCAAACCTTTAGCCATCAATTCTCTAATTGCCTTCCTTGCAAGTGATCCATTGATCTGTAGCAAACACAGGAAAATTTAAAATCAAATTGTCAAGATTTGCAACAATGCCATACCATGCCAATTTTATCTCAAGAAACCCATTCAGAAGAGATGATCCGCTCAACTATTTTAGCAAATTGAGCAAAAGAATGAGTAAAGTTTGAAAAACGCAGTCAAGTATGGCATAATAAATCAATTTCATTCAGTTTCAATTCCACAAAATAGTCGAGTACGCTAAGGAACAGTTACTAGAGTAAGTGCTTTGAGCAATTGAAATAACCAAATGTAGAAGTTAAAGAGAGCACATCTTGGAAGGCCAATATAGACTCCAATCATTCTTTCAAACCTGACAATGAACTAAGAAGTATTTTATTTCAAATACCCAAGGAGGATTACAGCCACATACCATTTTCCTTGAATATATGCTTAGATGGATACATATTACCTGTATATGTTCCCCAAACACCTAAAGTGAAACGTTAGAAATGACCAAACCACAACAATTGGTGGTCAAACTAGATGCTAAGAAGCACGGATACGGATACTTAATTCGAATACAAATACAGGTACTTATTTTCATATAATAAGCAAATTTTGCCAATTCAAGTTAAATTTTGCACGATCCATACACTTAGTGCTTGTTTATGAGGGAGTTTTGGGGGAAGAATTGATTTTGAATAGTGATATGATGGGAAATGTGAGGTTGAAAAAGAAGAAAAAATTATTGATGTGATGGAAAATATTATTTTATTGAAGAATGTGTGGTTGAAAATGAGAATTGATTTACTGTAGAATTTGAGAATCACAAACAAATAAACTCTAAGCCCA